GTAAGGACGCAGGCATTACCTGTGGATCGAATGATCTTGAATGCCATGCATATGGCCTGAATGTCTATCTCCCCAAAATTCATATATCAAAGCCATAACCCCAAGTGACTATATCTGGAGATGGGATCTCCAAGGGAGATTTAGTGAGGTCATAACGGTGGGACCCAGATCCCATAAAATTAGCATCCTTATAAGAAGAGGCACCAGAGATCTCGCACACGCACTTTGGGAGGACGCATCCAGAAGGTGGCTGTCTGCAAGTGAAGAAGAGCATCCTTACCAGAAACAGAACTGGCCGGAACCTTGATCGTGGACTTCCAGCCTCCAGAACTGGGAGAAAATAAGTTTCTGTTGTTTAAGCCGCCCAGCTGTGTGATTTTGTGATGGCGGCCTGAGCACACGAATACACCGTGTTTTACGGAATCCTCATGGCCGGGTCTAGGAAGGTAAATTCCTCCTCCCCCTCTCTCTCCCTCGGCTTGGGGCCAGGTGGCCTCAGGCATCTCCTCTATAAAATGGGCATCTTAGTTAATGCCGTTCATTCAAAGAGGTATTGTGGGAATTAGAAGGAAATAAAATGCGAGAAGCCCCTAGCACAGTTTCTGCACGTGAAGACACTCAATAAAGGACAGCTGTGATTATGACGGGTATTTATTACCACGTAGGGGCAGCAGTGTGGGAGGCAGCTGGGAGCAAGCAAAGGCTGTGCTCGCTGAGATTCCTACACTGACGTAAGAAAAACCCTGAAAAAGACCCAGGAAATACTGGTAGAAGGAGATAAATGTGACCTTAAGATCAGCCTTCTCGACCTCTCTGTCTGGTTCCTCATCTGTAAAGCGGGACTCTCCACGCCTGTCCACCCCGGGTTTCTGTGTGGATTAAATGAGAAAAGACGTGTGAGGAAGCTTTGAAGTTAAGAAACGCCATGCGACCAGAAGGGTTACATTTTCCTTTTTCCACACAGAAAAGAAAGATGGCAGGAGGAGAGAGATGCACCTATAGGTCCTGCGTTTGCCTGCAAACCATCGAGGCGAGAAAAGTAACAAATGACGGGACAGCAAGATGCAAACAAGAACTTGGCAGGCAGCAAGCCGGCATCTCGGATCTTTCCCCTGACATCCTAGGCTCAGCCTGGCTTCATCCCATCACCTACGTGTTTGCATTCATGCAGTGACTCAAAACTACTCCCAGATCCTCAGACTCCAAAGCGTGAAATGTTCAAGTTGGAAAATGGGATTGAACATACTCTCCACCATTTATAGATGAAGCTGAGAGTCACAGAGGAGCTGGTTAAAAGCCATCCTCAGAAGACAGGTGGCCTGAGCTCAGATCCTGGCTCTGCTGGTTTACTAGCTGTGTGACTTTGGCCGAGTTACTTAACATCTCTGTGCCTCTGTGACTGGGATTAACTGGGGCTGATGAGAGTGCTGACTCCCCAGAGTGGTTAAGTGAGTTAACAAGTGTAAAGCCCTGGGAATATGCCTCGCACTTGGGGAGACTCATGGAGTAGGAGTTATTATTATTATTATTTAAGGCCACAAGGTATTGTAGCGGTAGAGTTGAGAATATTCATTTTTGACTCTGCCTCGTGCTCTTTGCATGGCTCCACACTGAAATGTTTGATTCTAACCAATATGCCATGTTTACTACCAGCAGAGACACAGACCGACCTGTTTTTGGAAGAAAGGACGTATTCATGCAGTCTGCGTGCCCCGTTTCTGGAGCGTTCTGAGCCCCCAACTCTGACGGTAACTGATCAGAGCAATGACGCTTCACAGACGCCTTTCTGCCACCTCACGTTGCGTCACCCAGGAAGGCAGCAACAATCATTCCCCAAAATTTAAAAAATTAAACAAGAAGGAGGCCCAAATCCATTTGGAGCAGTCGGCTTGGCTGTCACGGGCACGGCGACTGTCACTCTGGTACAGTCCGTGTCCGAAGATCTCCCACCTACCGTCTTTCCTTTCCCCCTCAGGACGGATGGTGACTCAGAAAGTGGGTTCTAGCACGACGAGTTAGTTCCGGTCCTGCTGCTACCACTCACTAGCCGGGTAGCCATTTATTACTGTCCGTACCCCGACAAATGAGGACGCGACGACTCTGATGTCACGGGTAGTTGGGAGATCTGAGGTAACGCATACGAAGCAAGCCAAGAGCCCGCCTGTAATAATTCCCTCATCCAGGAAGTGTTTATCCTGTGCCTACGACGTGCCAGGTGCTGAAAACTCAGCAGCGGCCATCAAAACAAAGCCCCTCCCTTCGTGGAGTTGAGCGTGACGGGGAGAGCAGACCATGTGACAAGTGAATGGCGCACACCGTGTCCAGTAGCAATACGTGCTTTGAAGAGAAAACGGGATGAGAGGATGGAGACTTTAGGGGTGCTAGTTTGCCTACGACCAGGTGGGGGTCAGGAAGGCCTTTGTGGCAGGCTCTCTTTTAAGCGTGACCTGAATGAAACGAGACGACCACAGAGACAGCCGGGGAAAGAGCGTCCGAAGCTGTGGATACAGCGAGGGCCAGTGCCAGTGGGTGTGAATGGCCAAAGGCCAGGTGGCAGTGGGGACGGCGAGCACGCGGGGCCTTGCGGGTACCGGGGGGACTTTGGCTTTTGCTCCGAGTGTGACAGGGGAACCGGTGAAGAGCTTGGAGTAGAGCGACAGAACCTGACCCATGCTGTGAGAAAGTAGCTGTGAGGGGAACAGAGAGTCACGGGCTGTGTGGAGCGTGACACGGAGGGAGGGGCGGCAGGTGAGAGACGCCAACAGCTACTGCAATGGTCCGTGTGAGGGACGACGGGGCGTGGTGGAGGTGGCAGGACGTAGCACCCCTGGAGTGCGACTAGCACTAGTATATGCAACTCCAGAGGTGCCATTCGCAGCCATCCGAATGGGAAGGGTGGCCCCTGGAGAGGTGCAACACGGTGGCCCCAGAAGGCAGTGGGCAGGTCGGGGATGCGTTCTGAAGGCAGAACAGACAGGACTTATGTAGATGGAATGGAGTGTGAGAGAAAAGAGGAAACCAGGATTCTTTAAAGGACAAGCAGAGGTGTTTACTGAGAGGTTGAAGGTTGGGGCTCAGGAGTTAGTTTTAGATGTTTTAAGTCTGCGAAGCCTCTTCACGAAACGTAGAGGCTATGATGATGATGATGATGGTGATTAGGAAATGGCGGCGAACGAGGATTTTGAGAAGAGCGAACTTCAAGTGTGTGTATGTGCTGGGCACGCTGGAAGGACTTTAGGCGTCATCTCCATAATGCAGTAGATGTTATTATCATGCTCATTCAATAAATGAGTGTAGTGGGTTGAATTGTGCCCCCCTCTCCCACCCATATGAGCATGTCCTACTCCCCAGAACCTGTGAATGTGACCTTCTTGAGAAAGAGTCTTTGCAGGTGTAAGGATCTCAAGATGAGATCATCTTGGATTATCAAGATGGGCCCTGAATCCAATGGCAAGTGTCCTCGTAAGAGACATCCAGAGGAGAAACACACAGACAGAAAGAAGGTGATGTGAAGACAGAGGCAGAGATCGGGGCGATGCGGCCACAGTGATTGCCAACAGCCTCCAGGAGCTGGAAGAAGCAAGGAAGGATTTTCTAGAGCCTCCAGGGGGAGCAGGGCTCTGCTGACACTTGATTTTAAACTTCTGGCCTTCAGAACAGCGAGAGATTAAATTTGTGTCGCTGTAAGCCATCGAGTTTGCGGCCATTTTTTATGGCAACCACGGGAAACTGATACAAACAAGGAAAATGAGGCACAGAGAGGTGAAGTAACTTGCCCAAAGTCACACAGCACGGGAGCTGCAGAACTGGAACTGTCTGGCTCCAGAGGCGCTCAGGCAGGTATTGTTGAAGGTCAAGGTAGGGAGGCCAAATGTCTTTCTCACTCCCAATCCCCACCCCTCCGCTTTGAAAAGCCCGGAGGAGCCTTTGTCCAGCCACTCCAATGCTCCTGGCAGCCACCCCACGGATTCAGGGCCTTGCTGGAATTCAGTCCAAATCTGGCGTCCACATACGCGTGGCCACAAAGAGACCCTGGTGGGGCCGCGGCCTGGTAAACAGATTTCAGTGGCACCTCGGGATTCATGACAGTCACTCAGGAACTGCGTATGGTCTGGATTTCACAACCAGCTCCTTTTTTTCGTGACACCGAAAAGCTCTTGGCTCCTGCCAGCCCCGGCCATGAGGATTAAAAAGGGAGGGGAGCTGGAAGCAGGGTGTGTCGGCCACTCCCGAACCTCTGCCAGCGGCTAAAATTGGTCTCTGCAGAAACAGAGATTGTCCATTTCCTCTCCCTCCGATGCCCAGGAAAATATTTTACTCAACAAAAAAACCAAAAATTGGGAACCTGAGGAAAACATCCTGCCACCCGCCTTCCCCTCCGCCCCCCGCCCAGCCTTGTCAAATCTGCATCAGAGATGAAATCTCTAACACAGAGTGACAGTGGGGACCTTTGAATGAACAGGGCCTGTGAATAGAGCCCATGCCGCTTCCCACACACAGCCCTGTCCTTAGGACACTTAATGAGGAGAGGTCAGTTAATTTGGGGAATGGGGTGGGAATCAGGGCAGGGGGAAGGCTTCTATTTGTGAAGAATAAAATAATTAAATTCAGGTCAGTGGAGGGAGCCACTGGGCTGAAACAAATTCGGGGGTCAGTGAGGGAAGGCCAGAGGAGCGAGGGTTATAGATGTTTCAAAAGCAGGGATTGTCTCTCTGGGGGCTGCTGGTCTCTGGGGGCAGGGGCCGGCTCAGCAGCCCCCTTCCCCTTACACACACACACACACACACATACACACACGACACACACTTGGTCTCTCAGAAACGCGTTTGGACTATGAGATCATGGGGTTTGACTCATATACCCAGTTCATTCCTCAAAATAAATTTTAAGGACAAATTTTAAACACACTCGCATAACTGACCCAGCCAAGCATGAACCATTGTCTCGACAGGGTCTCCGCGGCAGGCCTTTTAGATTTACCTCAGTGACATGGCCCTTGACCAAGAGTTTGGAGGCCTCCTCTGAAGCTGTCTTCAGAATCAGGTTAGGAGGCAGAGCGTAAAATGGCACATTATTGTATGATTGCCCCTTATTCTGACCTCCCGCAATTATATTTCTAAGGTAAGTCACATTCCCGGTTCCACAGGTGTGACTGGCAAAGCCACCTGCCAAGATCTGCCAACACCAAGGATGAGAACATGGCGGGGAATGTTCTTGGGGCCTCAGAGGTTCTGAGCATGGCACCCCCTTTGGAATAGGGGTGAGCTTCCCAAGGGGAGAACTTCTGTGAGCATACTATCCATTTGCCAAGGTAGGTTCTGGAGAGTATTCCTTTTATTTTTTTTTTTAAAAGGCACTTGTACCGTGCCATGGCACCTCTCTAGGCTTGGCATTGGGCCAAACACACGTGGCATAGAGAGTCACGAGGTGTAAGACAAGATCTCTGTCTCCATCTACCCGGCGGGGGAGCCGAGACTCCACGTGAGCAGTCACCTGGGATGGATGACGTCATGTGCCTGTTCGTGGGGCTTAGGGCCGCTCTCCTGAAGAAACCCATGGGAGAAAGGCACCAGGAGGGTGGGGTGAGGTGGGGCCTGAACCCTACTTCGAAGAACGGGGAGCACTGTAAGATGGTGGGCAGAGGAAATGGTGCCTAGGGCTGAAGGCAGGGAGGAGGGCCGTCCCGGAAGGTAGACGTGCGAGGGAGAGGTGTGGAGACTTCGGCTGAGAAGCGGGAGGTGGGGAAGCTCGCTTGGCGGGAGGAGAACTTCACGGGGACCCAGCCCTGGCAGGACCCTCCCCGTCCAACCGAGCATCATCTTGGAACATAGAAACGTTTTGAGTGGCATCTCAGAATACCACAGAGCGTACACGACTCACAGTGGATTCCACTACTGAGTGTGTCTATCACAGCCTCATTGTACCTCGGTTTCTCTGTCCAGAAACCGATCGTAAAAACAGTAACTGACATTCATGGGTTAAGCCCTATTCCAAGTACCTTAACACTTTTAATTTAATAATAATGCTATTAATACCATAATTTTACATGCTCTTGGCTACTACATTCTTCGCCCTCTCAAATATCATGGGGTTACGTCCGCATAAACCCATCGTAAGTTGAAAATATCATAAGGCGAAAATGCATTTACCGCATGTCGCCTACCGAACATCGCAGCTAAGCCTCGCCTGCCTTACACGCGCTCAGAACACTTACGTCAGCCTACAGTTGGCCAGACCATCTCACACAATGAATATACTGTAGAGTGTCAATTATTTATCCTCGTGATCACGTGGCTGACTGGGACCGTGACTCGCAGCCACTGCCCAGCACCATGAAAGAGCATTCTACTACGTATCGTCGCCTGGGGAAAATACGGTTTCTACTGAGTGTGTCTCACTTTCGTACCATCATAGAGTGAAAAAAATCATAAGTCTTAAGTTGGGGACCGTCTGTAGAGATTTTCCTGAGGCTAAAATCAAATAACATATATAAAAGAGGTCTTTTAATTAAATGGCACTCTACAAAAGCTGATTATTGTTGCTAACATTAGTATAATTTTGCCACTGTAGGGTAAAGGTTATTTAAGGCCCGAGTACAAACATTAGCAGAGGAAGATCCCGTGGAGATTGTCAAAAGGAAACGTTACCCAAAGCCTGAAACGTTAGAAGGTAGGGCATCGGGGTTTTTTGTTTGTTTCTTGTACCAGGCCCAGCATTCTGAGAAGGGGTCATTAATAGTTCCTGGTTCCCTGGCGGTGGAAGGAACACAGCACCTTGCCAGGGGCAGCATTCTTCACAGACAGGCTGTCCGGGACGGGCCTGAGTTTCCCCCTGCCCCCCGCTCACTGAAAGCCTTTATTCAAAGCCCAGGAGCTGGTGAACACGACTTGCTCTTTGCCATCAGAAGGCCAAGTGTTTGGGGAAACAGATCCTCCTTCCAAAAAGAAACGCGATAAGTCTCCTGGTTCCCCTCCCCTCCCCTCCGAAGCCTGTTCCTCCGCAGACTGCCCCACCACCAACCACCCAGCAACCCACTGGGAGGCTGGGAACCACCTTGTTCTCCCCTCTCCATCGGCATCCGCCTCTGACCCACCCTGCGGCCCTCCTGTAACTCCGCATCTCCGCGCCCATCCTCTGCTCTGCATCTCCGTGATGGCTCCGTCATCTCCTGCCTGAACTTCCACAGCCCCCTCCCACTGGCCGCCCTGGTTCCACCTTGGCTTTCCCCCTCCACCAAGAGATTTTCTAAAAATGAAGATACGATCGCAACGCTCTCCTGCTTAAACCTTCAAAGGCTTCCACTGAACTCAGAGCAATCCAAATTCCTTTACCAAGCCCTGCAAGGCCTGCGTGACATGGCTCCTGCCTGTCTTTCCCACTCAGCATCAGCCACTGTGCCCCGGAGATTATTTCTGGGCCTGTGGAATGGCAGAATAATGTCTATCTTCCGGGCTGGCCGTGAGGCCACCAGGAGGGAGGATGTACAGAAGCGGTTTGTAAACTGGAAAGTGCAGCATAATATAACCTGTATCCCATTTATAATCGGGCTTTTGTGCTTTTATTCTTGTTTTCATGGTTTCTAGTTCCATGTATCGGTACCTTTTATTGTTTACAATGTTACGTCACTTTCAGATGTAAGGATATTTATACCCACAAGGTAGTATTGAAAACTACTGTGACAGAATCTCAATATTCCAAAGGTAACAGCCCGGTTATGGTGTGCTTAAAACTTGCACAATTATTTGTTCTTCTCTGGGTAGAAAAATCAGAATTTTAACTATGCTGTCAGATTGCTAGAGGCCTGTTGAGATCCCGTTTAAATGATCAACCAGTTTATTCTCTTATGAAAATGATACAACAAAGAAGTGATCTTAATATTTCTCCAGCATTTTCAACAGCAGCAGATAGCGTTTATTAAGCCCCAACTTTGTGCCAGTCCCTTTATTAAGTAAGCGCTGTTTATCCTTGCTGTTTGTTAATCCTCACTACAACATTAAGAGGTATTGCTATCATTCAGATGAGGAAGCTAAAGTTCAGAGAGGTTAAGTAACTTGCCTAAGGTCACACAGCTAGTGAGAAATAAGAGTTCCAATCCTCTGTCTTAATAGCCCTTGTTCTTTGGTTTCACTCTATGTGTGTTTAGGGGCAGCGGGACCAGATAATGTGTGTATTTGTGGGAGGGGAATAGGGATAATAGGGGAATGGTGGCTTAATCAAGTACAAGGCCATCGGGCCCCACAAAGGCGAGGGAGGTTGGGCAGTAGATTCTAAGTTTCACTCTTTCATGTCTGTGTTCTAACTTGCAAAGCGGCATAACGCTCATTAGGTGTCCCTGTCATCGCTGAAAAAGAGTGTAATTCTCTTCTGTAAAGAGCGGCCATTGCCCTTTTGCTATTTAAACCAAGAGGTGTGTGTGAGAGACAGACAGAGAGACAGAGGGAGACAGAGCATTCAGTCACGAAGCGCTGCGTTTCAGAAGCTGATGAAGATGCGTGGGCCAGAGAGAGCCCCAGAGAAGCTCTCCTATCTCCCCAGCCGCTTCACTCACCACGGGCAAAACAATCACACAGCGGAGAATGGCAATGAGGACGACCACGACAACACCTTCCTCTACTTCCGGTTCTGCTCTTCCGCCCAGAACTCGCTGTGCAACCTCAGGCAAGTTACCGCCTCTCTCTGATCCTCAGTGTCCTCATTAGTCAAGTTAAACATCGAGATTCCTGGTATCCCCTCCAGCTCTCAGACTGAGGGATGCTTCTGCAGCCATGATCTCTTTTGCTTTCACCCCCTTCCTGAGGAGATGAGCAGGTCAGACTGGCCACATGCCGCTCGGAGAAGGTGGCAGGGTTCAGCGCCAGATCCTAGACTAGAGCTGTTGACTTCCAACACCAGGTCCAATGTCAGCTGACTCCACTAAGCTGCCTACAAGGCTGTGGACAGAGCTTGCCCAGGACCTATGCACGTCTAACCTCTTGCAACAGAAAGGGTGACAGACACTCTGAAGCCACCGCATGGAATCCCTGGCCACCCCAAGGGATCAGTATCTGGGGGTGGTTCCTTCTGTCCTTCCCTCCTCCCCTCCTGCCTTCCTTCCTCTGATTTGCAGAGAGGAGAGAACAGTAGAGGAAGTAGAAGATGCTGCGGGAAAGACAGGGGTGGCTTGGATGACTTCCTGAAGCCCCTGCCAGGTGTCAAATTAACAGGGGGAAGAGAAGAAACCACCGTAAGCATGGTGTGTGCGTGTGTGTGTGCGTGTGTGTGTGTGTGTGTGTGTGTGTGTGTGTGTGTGTTGGTAAATGGTGAGAATGAAGAGCTAAGTGTGGAAAAAGCCCTCACAGCCACCTGTATTTCCTCTCTAATTACTCTGTGTTTTATATTTCTTCACAAATCAATGAGCTTCCTGTTAAACATTAGGCGAACCTTCACGAGTCAGGGGGAAGGACAGAAGCTCCCCCATGAAGACGCGCCAGCTGGAAGATGGTGAGTCATGACACAGCCTCCTCCACTTCTCTCTGGTGAATGTTCCCTGGGGTCCAGCACGAGCGGTTCTTTCCCAAGGCCCATACAGGCAAGAGGAACGTCAGCCAGGCCGGAACCCAGGCAGAACCCCACCAAGCTGGGGGCTTCGAGATCTGGCAGCAGGCCACTCTTCCTCCTCAGGCAGCTCAGAGCGCTGGAGATGCAGCAACCCCCATTTATATGAGGGGTGCCCTCAAAGCGGGCTAGATAATGAGATGAGCGCTGCCCCACAGGTGTGGGATAAAGGCCACCACCCGCAGGGCACAATTCGTGGGGGACTAACGAAAGCCTCCTCTAACCAAAATATCACTCCAACCTGCAGAGTGACCCTTTCCTGAACCTGGCTTGAAATTCTCATAACAGAGTCGCTCATGGCTGGGACAACAAAGAGAGGAGGCCTCGGGGATCAATAAACCAGCCAGAACTTTGCTCTAGAAGGTCCTGATTGCAGCGGTAGTAAATGCCATCTTAGATGCTCACTCGATCTCATCCATCCTTGATTTCTGAATCTGCAAACCCCACATAATAATGAGAAACGTTGATTGCAGACATCTAGCACAGGGCCCTGGCTTGTGGTGTGTGTCTGAGTGAACAGCAGCTGTTATTACAATCATCTCGATAATTTCTAAGGTCTGTGTTGAAAAGTCCGTGGGCTGACGGGGCTGCTCCGCCCCTAGCATCGCCCATGAGTAAAGGTTCCCTTGCTGGCTGGGGTCTCAGGAAATGAGCCAGGGCAGTGGTTCTCAAAGAGTGGTCCCTGCATCACCTGGAAATTTGTTCCAAATACAAATTTTGGGGCCCCACCTCCAGACTGAGTCAGCAGTTTGGGGGGTGGTGAGGCAGTCACTTTACGAGCTCCCCAAAGTGATTCTGATGCCTGCTCAAGTTTGAGAACTACCGAGCTTGGGCAATAACCACGAAGTCTGGCCGATAATCAGAATTTCCTGGGAGTAGCTAGGGGAGAAATGCAGGTTCCCGGGCCCCACCTCCCAGGGATTCAGAGTCATCAGGTTCTGGGATGCATTTTAACAAGCTCCATGGGTGATTCCACTGAGCTAGAGGTTGGCTTTGTCGGGAGAGGAAAACACGGAGGCTGGAAGAGACGCAGGGGTGCGGGGGGCCGGGGAGGGGCCTGGGGGACGCGGGGCTGGTAGGGCTGGTGGCGCCGGGAGAGGAGAAACTGCTGAGGATCCGTGTTCTCAACGGCAGTTCCACAGATTTACGGAATGGAATCTCCTACAGACTTCTCACTTTCCAACCAGGGAATCTGAGTCCCAAAGAGAAGCCACCATTCTAAGTTCACGCGGCTCACGCCCGGCAGAGCTGAACTGGAGCCCGGGGTCCCGCTTCCAAAGCCGGCACCCTGTCCGCTGAACCCACGCTCGAGTCTTTGCTCTCTCTCACCGTCCCAGGAGCACGCTCTGCAGCCCAGCACTGAATCCACACACACGTCCCCGGAGTTGACCGGGCGAGGTCAAGGGAGGAGTTGGAGTCAGATCTGAGGGCGAATTTAAGCTCGGTCACTGGGTCGTTGAGCCACCATGCCACCCTCTCAAGGCCTCAGTTTCCTCACCTGTAAAATGGGGATCAGGTCTGACCTCACAAGGCTGCTTAGCAGGTCAAATAAAATGACACATTCGAAGGCGCTTTCAAGGCTGTCGATCTACCCACAAGTGCAGGGGCTAAAGAAAGGAGTCGTTACGATTTCTTGCCTAGAAGCACTTACAGTCTAGCTGCGGGGAAGAAACACACTCAAAGTATCGGGGGAACAATTCAAAGCTCCCCTCCATGCTAAGTGCAAGGTCACACCCCTGTGCCTTTGCTGGGGCCGCCCTCCGGTACCCTGAAAGTTCTAGAATCCCCCCGTGATGTGGTTCAGTCTGTGCCTGACTTTCTCCACCTGTGAGCTTCTTGAAGGCAGGAAGTGAGGCTTGTTCAGTTTTGTGGCCCCAGAATGTCTGATGTCTCAAAGGTGTGCTCAGGAAGTGGTTGATTCAGGTAGGGAGGCTTTTGGGCAGAGGGGCCTTAGAGAGCGGGCAGGGGCTTTTCGGGTGGGCAGGGGCCTCCGAGAATTCCTGTGTTGCTCCACTGGAGCGAGCACAGGGAGGACAAGGGTGTCAAACCAGCCAGAGGACACCGGCCGACTCCTTGCTTCTCCAGCCCCCGCATGTCTGTCATTCACCCCGCCATCCGAGGTTCTCAGGTTCCTGCAGAGCGCAGTCAGGCGAGGGCAGGAAGGGAGGAAAACGAAACAGGAACCACCAATGCTCTACCCGTGGGGGCCCCCAAAGCTACTAAATTAAAGAGACAAGCAAGAAGCAGGGTCACAGCAAACGCCCGGCGACCATGGCAAGGCTTTCTGCAGATCCGGTCGTTTCTTTCTCCTAGTTTCCCATGAGCTGTGTGACTTTGGGCAAGTCACAATGCTTCTCTGGGCCTCGCTTTGCTCCCTTTGCAATGGGAACTGCGTCAATAAGGAGCTATGGGGCTATTTTTCTTTAAAGAATAAAGCAAAACAACACAGCCAATGGGGTAACTGCCACTGGTCTGGCAGAGCAAAGTGGATTCAAAGCTGGCACGGTGTCCTGGCCCTGGCGCTTCCATAGAAAACCGGCAGTAACAACGATGAAGTGAGCAGTGACAACTCATCTTTATTGAGTACGTATAGGGTGCCAGGCACTGGACGAGCACTTGTGATTCGTTATGTTGTTCATGCCTCACGACCGCCCTTTAAGGCAAATGCTATCATTATTCCCATTTTACAGCTGAGCAAACCGATGCTCAGAGAGGCTAACTCTGGACTGGTGAGCAGGTGAGCCGGGATCTGAACCTGGGCTGTCGGGTTCCGGAGCTCACCTTCCTACCCACCGCACTCTATCAAGCCTGGAAGTCCATGTTTCCATATTTGGGAAAGACTGGAGGATCTCAAAAGGCAACGAAAATAATAATTTTCTAGACCAAGGACTCAGTCTGGAAAGAAGGGCCACACTGGGGACATGCACAAATTCAAACTCTACTGAATCTCAGGAGCAATCTTGGTTCAAACTTAGGGTCGGGTTAGGTGCCCTGGAGATGGCTCAGGCCTTGGAGCTGGACGCCCTGGGTTCCGGCCGGAGCCCCACGCACAGGCCTCCTCAGCTGGGGTCAGGCAGCTGCTCTGGGGTCCCTTTTCTCATCTGTCGGGGGTTCTGGAATGACCCCACCCAGATTCGCAGATTCCCTTCAACGTCCACGTACTCCACATGCCAAGTTTTAAAAGGTTCTGTCTCTCACACGTGAATTCGTTTCTCCACTAACAAAGCAGCGAGGCATTCATTCAGCTGCTGGAGTTGCTGATCCAAACAAGGTGACCATTGTCATCCGGTGCCAGCCCAGAGAAAAAGACAAAACACCCCCAGCCCCGCCCCAGCATATTTTTAGGCAGCCAGTGCCACCGTATCTTGGGTACTGTACAATTTCCACCGGTTTCTGGAAATACTGACTCCCATTATGTGGACTTTTAGGAAAACACTGGCCTAAACAGTTTCTGAGGTCTCTTTTAACACCGAGTTCAACAATTCTACAGAATCGATTACATCCGTAAGTGTTCTCGCTAATAGGGAGGGTGCACTCGCTCATCTTATCCTGTCCGCTCAGTGCTAGAAAGGCAGGAATGGGGAGGACCCCTTGCAGTCTGGAGGTCAGCTGAGGACACCCGTCGGGCCGGCCTCTGCCACTTCACACCGAGGGTGGAACTCACTGGGACCGAGAGGCCGTACCAGCTAAAAATATAAACAAGTTCAAGAAGGGTTTCGATGAACTCAAGGAGGAGTGAACGGTGGGAGTGGGGGAGACAACTGTTCAGGTTTCGTCCTGTGTTTCTGCAGCTTCCTGCTACAATGGCATGCTTGGCCGGGCAGAACTCGGATGGCTCTGCCGCCCCTGTGAAGCTGATGTCCTCGTGTGAGGAGATAAAAAAGAAAGAAGGAAAGCAAAATGAAACAAAAGGAACGAGGGCAGATGATAGTTTCCTGTGTCCACATGCAACGTCCGTGATCAGAAGGAAATATATAGCCATTGTAGGAAATTTAGAAAGGAAGAAAAACAATCATCTCTGATTCCACATCTGAGAGTTCACTGTTCATGTTTTGCTGTACAGTAGCTCCATCTGTGGTTTCGCTTTCCGCCTGTTTGGTTACCCGAGGTCCAAAAATATTAAATGGAAAATTCCAGAAATAAATAACGAAGTTTTAAATTTCGCGCCATTCCGCGTAGCGTGGTGAAATCTCGTGCAGTCCCGCTCCGTCTGGCGCAGGACGCGAATCCTCCCTTTGTTCCACTGTATCCACATCTGCTCCCCACCTATCAGTCACTTAGGAGCCGTCTGGGTGAGGGGACTGACTGTCGCCGTATCACGGCGCTCGTGTTCAGGTCGCCCCGATTTTACTTAACGACGCCACATTCACATAAACGTTATTACAGCATATTGTTTTAATTGTCCTATTTTATTATGAGTTCTTGTTGTCAATCTCTTACTGTGCTATACATACACACCTAGGATAAAGTTTAATTTACAAATTAAACTTTATCCTAGGTGTGTATGTTTAGGAAAAATCACAGTATATATGAGGTTTGGCACCGTCTGTGGTTTCAGGCACCCACTGGGGCTCACGGAACATGGCCCCCGTGGATAAGGGGGGACTACTCTATTTCCATCTGCATGTGTGTGTTTTCTTTTAAAATAAGAACTACACAGTAGGTATCCTGCATTTTTCATTTAATATTTAACACTTTGAAAAAATCATGATATTAGACAGATTTGCTGTATGACTTCAAGGTTTCTACTGCTTATATATTTAGCCATTAATTGATTGAATCATGGAATTATTTTACCCTTCAGCTCTTGTTGGACATAGGTTTTCTTTTCCCAATTTTCTGCCTTATAAATGATGCTGGGATAGACCCATTTGATTACT